AGGGATGCATCATGGAAAATGACTGCTTTCACCAAATATGTAGGAGGGAAGGCTCTTCATGACACAGAGAAGGGAAAAAAAACTAAAACCAGGAATAGTAACAGTCCGCCAGTCACAAGTTAAAAGGCTTTGACCTGTTTTGACTGTCAAACAAATCTGGAACTGAAAACTTTACAACTGTAGACACACACTCTGTTTAATAGATAATCGTGTGTGTGTGTGTGTGTGTGTTTGTGTGTGTGTGCGTGTGCGTGTGCGTGTGTGTGTGTGTGTGTGTGTGTGTGTGTGTGTGTGTGTGTGTGTGTGTGTGTGTGTGTGTGTGTGTGTGTGTGTGTGTGTGTGTGTGCGTGCGTGCGTGCACATGGCCCCCCACATACAGTCTTTCAGTTTGGATCCATTCATAGTTTCTACTTATTGCTATTAAAATGAGGTGAAATGTTATTTTTACTTTAATGAAGTCTTTTGACCGTACAATCTAAAACTTAGTGTGAAATTTGGATTTTTAACTCGCACCCCCACCCCCACCATCACCACTCAAGCCACACACACACACACACACACACACACACACACACACACACACACACACACACACACACACACACACACACACTTTTGAAATCAAAATTACTTCACTTATGTGAGCAAGGATTTCAGTTTTGTTACTGATAATATCAAGAGTTGCTTACAGTCACTTAACAGGTCAATATTCTTTAATGAGATGCTCTTTTTAAGCCATCAAATCCTTCGTGGCTCGTCAAATATTCCTTTGTGTTTATGTAACTTGAATTTTCCACTAGAAAAAAAGAAGTTTCAACAGCTGCATACACACACTGTCTCTAATCATGGCATACTTCTATGCACATACCAAACACCATTCTTTATAAATCACTTGTTAAATCATAGTCTTTAAATATTTATGAAATATTTACCAAGTGTGCCAGCTAGAGGGTCCTTCATCTTTTTTCCCACTGAAACAACATGCAGACGATCAATAAATGATGGTTTTTACATCATGTTTGGTGCTTTGAGCATAATATATAGCTTCAGTGTAGTTCATATTTGCATTAACATATCTGCTGTTTATAAGGACGTACAGTATATTCAAACTGTGATTTAGGTTTGTCTACATCATAAAACAGCATTCAATATGTGAGTGGAAATTCAAACCTTTTTAAAGTCGCCCTAAAGTATAAATGCACCAAAGAGGAAAATATATACAAAAAACTATGTTTATTTAATGTTAATTTATTTTTAGACTGTTTTATCAAATCTTTTCAGCCAAAAACACATATTTTTTTCAAGAAATTCATCTTAAAAATGGACATTGGAACTCTATGCATGAATGTTTTTTGCAATAGATTTGAATTAACTTTTATTTTTGGTGATTTCAGTCATTTATTTCTTGAAGTCAAATAGAATTTGTGTTTTTCTTCATGTTAGAAAGTTGAAGGACTTGAAAGATGATGACTAAAGTCACAAGTTCTTTATATTTTTTGTGAATAGTTAATGTGAATGTATTTTTATGGGTGAATGATTTGAGAAGCTGCACATTAGAGGAAGCTGAGTTTTTCATATTTCACCTATGTGATAAGTCAATCTGCGTGCCATGGCTGGTTATAGAATTTCCTTACTTGTGAATGTGTCTAAAGCACATACACACACATTTATGCATGCATTGTTTTATTAAAGGTCATTCACAAACATACACCCACTGAACAATTTGTGAAATGAACTTCCGTCATAGTAGTGTCAGTATGATCATTGTAGAAATCTTTTCATACACACACTTTTAGCAACATTTTAAAGGAAATGTTCAAGGACACCTCTGTGTGATCCTATGAATGCACTGAAGCAGTTTCTGTACATCTGTTAGAAAAAGTTAATGTGACTTGTGGCAGAGTGAATTTAAATTAGAAATAAAATGAAAATGAAGTTTATCTTATTTATCTCTTGCAAACGTATATGCTCCTACAAAAGGTATTGGTGTTGTGAGGCCAACTCTTTTTGTGTAGACTGCAAACTTTTGGATTTGACACCAAAAGATGAATATGGAACAAGTGCAATGAACTGTTATAATTGCAGGAACCATTGGTGCTGGGAAAAAAAAAAAATTAACAGCAGGCAGGAAGTGACGGTCTGAAAAGGTTTTAATGAGAAGTAACCAGAATTCTCTATCGACAGACCAAACAGGCTGCTAGTTAAAGAAGTCCTATCAACAGAAGCAGACACAGTAGCTGGACTCACAGCAGGCAGTCCCGGCCCTGACCAGAGCATCTGAGAACTCGATATACCACTAGGATCAGCTATGGTTGCAAATGAAACGCTGGAGAGGAACTGAGCGGTGGTGTGTCCATGCCTTTTAAAACAGGGTCTCTCTCTCTCTCTCTCTCTCTCTCTCTCTCTCTCTCTCTCTCTCTCTCTCTCTCTCTCTCTCTCTCTCTCTCTCTCTCTCTCTCTCTCTCTCTCTCTCTCTCTCTCTCTCTCTCTCTCTCTCTCTCTCTCTCTCTCTCTCTCTCTCTCTCTCTCTCTCTCTCTCTCTCTCTCTCTCTCTCTCTCTCTCTGTGTGTGTGTATTCCAGTGAATATGTGAGTTCCACATTGTGCCTTGACCATTCTTTTCTATTCTTCTTTTTCTTCCTCTTTGAGCCGTTTTGAGGTGGTTTCAAGCCACTTCTTGGAGCATTACTGCCACCAGCTGGGTTGGAGTAAGTCTGGGACTCTAAATACCTCTCATGTCTCTATGAATAAAAATAATAATACAGAAAAATTCTGATATGATGATATAATTACTTTTCATTGATCATACCAATGGTGCCTCCAAGGGGTGGCCAGGAGGAGCCATGACCATCTTTGGAAATTTGCTAAATAAACAAATATATATTAATATAAATAAATAATAAATAAATAAATAACATTCATGTTCACACAAATCATACACTGAATGACATGAATGACATGAATGCTTAAGTCAATAAATAAAATTAGAATTATTGAGCAACTATATCATAATCTAAATCAGTTGTTCCCAAAATGGGGTCCCCACAATTTTATGCTGAGGTTGTGAGATTAGTAAAATTGGGTTTGTAAAATTTAAATTTATAAAATCCCAATTACACTCTCCACAGTTTAATCAAAATTATATATAAAAGTTTAGTAAATTACTGCAATTATTGTGGGTATGCATGTTCAGTTTGGGTTTGGAGGTCCTAGCTTGCCTTGGACACGGTCGAGGGGATCCTCAAGGAAAAATGTTTCGGAACCACTGATGACGCAGACATGGAATAGCAAAATTGATCTAATATATTTCTAAATCAAATATTTATTGTACTATTTTTGCTGGTTTTAATTTTATTATTAATGACAGGGATATCAGTATAATGTTTGATAGAACACGCTATTTTCACAGGTATTTTGGTGCTCATGTGGAAGCAGATTTCCACACACATTCAACACACAAACCGCAGTCAGTGTGATTGGTACTCTAGAAGGTATATGGAAACCAGATTGCACCCGTTCTGCAGTCGGTGTGAAACAGGCTTTAGACGGGAGTGTACGTCGTCATACGGAAGCTTACATTTGTGTTTTTTGAAACTCGAATAAAAGGTAAATACTAGCTAAATTTACATTTAGCACCAAAAGTAGTACAACGTACACTTTGCCATAAAACCCTGTCATTTTGTATTACATGCAACAACAATGGGTTTGCATTGCAGAGCAAATTGCGGCCCAATGTGAGGCTTCGCTAAGGGAATCTTGTCCTCTCAACAAGAACGCTATGTGTGTCAAAACAGCAGTTTCAATATTCAGTGGCTACCACGAGCGAGAACAGTTTAGAACAGAGTAAATCTACAACAAAATGTGCAATTATTGTTATCCATCTGCAGGGATTTCTATGTGGAGTTTTTATCTAAAAAAAAATCTGTCTTCTCTTGGCGCTTCACCTCTACTCTCGCAGTTTGGTGATTTAAACTGACTTTATGATGTAGTGTGAGTGTGCATCATTGTTAGTGTTGTGTGTCCTTGTCTTGGCTGCATCATGGTCTGGCAAACTATCCACGGTGTACTCTGCCTCTGGCTTTTTGGGTGAAGAAATTGAAGAGATGGAGGTTCCTGTTTCGCTGTTACTGTGTGGCTGCAAATACAAACTGTAGGGTTCCAAAATGTGTGCACAGATATTTAGAGTCTACATAGTTTTCCAAGAAGTTATAAACTGATTTAGTAGTTATTTTTTATTAGCCATAGTACATAATGAAAATGCTTTTCTTGCAATAGATTATTTGATATTGATTTGAACTTATTGTTATCAGCATTTCCCAAGACAACGTGCTAGTTTTTTAATGTTGCTCCGCCACATTTATTGTGCTCATCTACTTAATAATTCATAGGAAAGTGCCTTGAACCATTTAGATGTGATTTTTCTACTCTGTGTTGTGTGATGGTAAAACATGGCTTTCACCTTCAGTTTCTTCGTGGTTTCACCGCAGGAGACTTTGTATTCCATGACCCATTTCCAGAATGTTCCTCTTCCTATTTTGTGTCCACGTTCTGCATCTGATTTACAGCTACTACAGCGGGGAGTATGTGATGAGCTCACAGCAGTATACTAAAAGCTATGGGACCACAGAAAAGATAAAGATACAATCAATAAGTCTTGTCTTTTTGATTTGATACGTTTCCATCCAACAATTCCGTTAGCTGATGGGCAATGAGTTGACTGCTTATCTCAAAATAGTTCTGCCTGCAAACTCACTGTGTGCTCATCGATCCATAAATGGTTAGATATCACAGTACATGAGATTTATCTATGTGGGAATTTTTTTGTTTTATAAATTAATGTTCATTTACTTGAAAAAGCAGTTCCTGCTACTGGCACATTTGTGCTTCTGAGTATACTAGAACACTATCTTCATTAAAATGCCCTCATATGATATCATACAACATTTATGATGTGAATTTACTCTTACAATCTCCGTCTTTCCATTTCTTACCCTTTTTAAGGTGGATGCCGGGAGTGTGCTGAAGAAGAGAATGAACTCTGCACCGATTCTTGATCGCCCTGCCAAAACTTTCCCCAACCCACCAGTCAATGCCCAAGCTTTTCTGCAGCAAGGCTCCGCAGTCCCTGCCAACAACGTTCTGACTGGCACCAGCATCATTGACAAATATTCCCGCATCCTCTTTCCCCTTTCATTTGGCGCCTTTAACCTGGTCTACTGGATCGTTTATCTCACCAAGGACACCATGGAGATGTCAAGGTGAACATATGGCATGGCTAACACAAGACATTGTGGGTATTATTACACAAGAAAAAGGATTTGGGGTTTGACATTTTTGGTGTCACTCCCACCCTTTAGGGAGGAATTTTTTATTTTATTTTATACAGTCTTCCTCTTGATTACTTCGCAGTTTAAAGGTGCAATATGCAAGAATTACATCCTGTCATTAAATTAGGTTACTGCAACACATTTGAGAGTGAGTGAGTGAGTGAGTGAGTGAGTAGTTCCGCTCCTGGTTTTCTGTAAAATTCATTCTTTCATTCCTTACTTCCTTCTGGCCGGAACTGAAAATCCTCAAGTTTGGGGCTGGTTGGTGTCTGAGTCATTATACAAAAATGAAAAAAATATATATATAAAAGCTGAGTCACAGGGAACTAGCTGAATGCCTTGTGACCGCTGTAAACTTTGAATGAAGTCTCAAGGTTGAAGTATGCCAAAGTAGTTAAAGTTCAAACGGGTGAAAGGATTTTGTGAAAAATCTGAGAATTTAAGGTTTTTCCCATGTATTCCATTGCGACAAAAAATGGCAGAAAAAGCTTAATATCTCAAAAAGTATAAAATATTTCATTATCAAAAAGTGAAAGCTAGTGAAAGCTATACGAGCTGAATGTTTTGATATCAAATTTGATGTAATAGCTGAAGAAATGCAGAAGTAGTTAAGTGGCAAAAAATTTATGGAATTTGAAACTGTCAAACAATATTTTCTATGCTTAAGAGCACTGAAACTTTTAAAGTACAGCAGCATTTCTGGTGTGAGTGACTTGCTGTTCATGCTTCACTAAATACCTCCAAATTACAGGGTCAGCTTCAGGGAGACTAGCATCATTTACAAGCAACCTTGTTTACCATTTAAAGGTCTCGGTCACTGAGGAACAGTGTTGGGCAAGTTACTTCAAAACTGTAATGCATTATTTATTACTTGTTACCCTCATTTTAAAGTAATTCATTACATTACAATATTACTGATTTTAAAATGTAAGGCATTACACTACTTTTGCATTACTCTAAAGCCCCCTTCAGACAGGCGATGAAAAACGGAAATGTTCCGGAATTTATCCGGACGAAGCCCCTAGTAACAGGTCCGGACTTGTTACGGACAGGGTGGCTGCTTCAGCCTGGTGAGGTAAAGTTCCGGACAAGGGGGAGGGGGAGGAGGAGGGGACCGGGGGACGCTGTGCGCACCTAGATATCCCGCTGCTGTAGCATGCGGCGAACCACGGCAGCTCGCCTCCTACGGTACCGTCTAGACGCGCGACGGAGCGCTTCACACTGCTTCAGTGATTCCTTTAACCATTGAGCTTCATCATCCAGGTCTCTTATGCGTCTTCGTGTGCGCAGAATTATGCTTAAGCGCCTCGTGATTTTTATCTTGAGAGGCGCTATAGAAATGATATTTTCTTCTTCTTCTTAACATAAGTCCGATTCTCTCTCCCCCCACCACTACCCCGCCACCGTCAGACATCTGGAACTTTTCCCTGCTGTGTGAACGCAGCCGAAAGGACAAGTTCCGGTACAAAAGTGGTGTGGCTGAAAACACAGTTCCGGTTAAAAACCCGATTGAATTGTCCGCAAATGTTCCAGAATGTCTGTCTGAAAAGGGCTTAAGTTACTTTCACCAAAACAACTTCAGTACGAATCTGATAATGTGACGCTCAGTGAGCTCATGACATATATGTGGAAAGTGATGTGGTGTCTGAGCCAGGATTCCTGTTAAAAACAGTCAGAAATAATAACAGTGCTTTAAAATGATTGTTTATTAAATAAAAGCAACAACAATCTGTACTCTCAACACGCTGCCATCTTATATTTACTGAGCAGGGAGTGAGGTGGTGGGGGCTCCAAGCCTATATTTGCCTTGGTTCCCAAATGCCTTGATACGGCACTGGATGTGGGACTGACTTCTGGGATGATCTGATTTTATCGCATGTATAAATATTAAATGCTTATATATTATTGATTTTCACTGGTACAAATGTGTATTGGGGATAAATCTACCTACTTTTTTTCTTTTCAAGCACTTTGTTTTGTTTTTTTGATTTTATGTGAATAACTTCCTGCCCTTTCTCTCTCTAACCTTCCTGCATGCTGCATGTTTTCTCCATCTTCCAGAAAAACTGTTTCCTAGATTTCCTACTTTCTAACTAATCAGCCAAAGGGATCTACCGAACGCAAAAAAAAAAAAAAAAAAAAAAAAAAAAAAGCTTAATATGTGCTGCGCTCCAGCAGCAATGAGTCGAAATCACCGGGGCACAGATTATGAACTCAGCTGAAAAGTACATGAAGTACCAACGAATATGGGCTGATATAAACAATCGCAAACGAATTACTTTGTTTTGGTGGAGCGATTTTGTGAATATAACAGCAGCCGCGTGCAGGATGCAGCTGGAGTATTTGAGCCATTACCGCTGCGACCTCTCTGCTCATAGAATGGATACTGGATCTTTTTTCAGGCTTCCCGCAATTCGAATTTTTAGAAAACCCACATCTTGATTCTGGGTTTTAAAATGCATTGTAATTACTGTGTTACATTACCACATTACAGCAAAAAGCAATGCATTCCAGTAATTAATTACTTTTGTACTGCATTACTCCCAACACTGCTGAGGAATCGTGTAATCGTGCTTTCTGAAATACGATTGTCACTCTGAGTTTCGTATGCATGTGGAATGTGAACATTTTCTTCAACACTGCATTTGCTGCAAAAAGAAATAGACGGGAAACGATCAGGTCAGAAAAAGCTAGTCCCTTCCATGTCACAAGGAAAATTTGCATTCCTTGCCTCTCCCACTTAGGCTTGCAACCACCTACAGTACGGCTGTGTTGATTTTGCTGCCAGCAGAGCACGTCTCAGCTAGTAAAAGCTAACCATGCATGGTGGAACATGTTCAGGCTTGTATTATATGAGGAGATAAAACGTAAATGTTGCATTTTTCCCCCCAAGAAAGAAGAGAGAACTGAGGGGTAATAGAATTGAGAGTTTTGTGTTTCTACAGCGAACAACTCACAAGGTGTTCATTTATACTGAAGACCACAGTAAATTGATTTAAAACACTAGTGAATGAGACCCTTAATGGTTTTAGGTTACATCACAGTTAATTGCTTTTCTCGGTTTGTTTCTATTGTACTGATGTCTGTAAAATGAATCTGCACCTCTCGCAGTACTCATGCAAGTTAAGAAATGTTGTATGAATGGAAAACAATTTGAAAAAACTATGCATTTACACATTTTTTTAGATAGTTTATTATGGAGTGCAAAAGCAAATGATAGTCAAGGCATATGCACAATGGGTTCTTGGTGAAACAAATGTCTGCTGCTAGATCTTGATCTTGAGAGCTCTTGTAGGATTCCATTTTATGACTGTTTGTGAGCGTGAACCCAAGTGTATGTTGGATTTAGCTCAGCTTTAGAATCAGATTTGGTGGTTTTTAATTGATGGATCCATTACCCTGAGAATAAATCCGGATAGACTGCTTGCATGGGAGCAGGGAGTTAATGTTTTTTTTTCCTGTTTGGAATAATTAATGCAATTTTAGTATGCATGTTTTTTTGTTTTGTTTTACAAATTCTGCTGATGACCAAATCACAATTGAACAATACGTAAAAATAAATAAATAGATGATGATATAACAAACTATGTAATGGAGTTTATAGCTGAAAATCCCAGCGGAGTTAAACAAGAAACTATAGTGGAGCAAAGGTGCTACACTTCGACTGTGAGGGACAGAATGTAAAACAAAAATCCAGGAAATCTCATTGTATGATTTTTAAATTATTTATTTGTATAATTGTGCAGAAAATAAGTATTTGGTCAATGACAAAAGTTTACTGTGCAATATAACCTTCGTAGCCAATTAGAGGTTAATTGTTTTTTGTAGGTCTTCACCAAGTTTGCAAACACTGAAGCTGATCCTTTGTCCCATTCTTCCATGCAGATCTTCTCTAGAGCTGTGATGTTTTGGGGTTGTCACTGGGAAACACAGACTTCCGACTCCCTAGACAGATTCTCTATTGGATTGAGGTCTGGAGACTGGCTAGGCCGCTCCAGAACCTTCAAATGCTTTTTATATAGCCACGTCTCTGTTGCCGTGACAGTGTGTAAGATATTGCCACATTTAACCTTCAATGGTCTCACCGATGAAAGGAAGTTTTTGCCCAAAATCTCACAATAAATGGCAGCATTTCTCTAATACAGACCTTTACAACTACATAAGTATGCATTTTAAAACAGAAAATGTATCAATAAATTAAGAAAGAAATTAATAAAACAAAAGTGGACTTGAACAAAGGGCTCCTTTTCAAAAGTATATTCTGGCTGCAGCTTTCAAACAGCTGATCCAATGACATTACACTCAGTGCCAACAGAGGCCTTAATGGCACAAGTGAAATCGGAGTAGACAGCATGGACCAGGAGTAACACCCCAACAGTATAGTGTTGGTGGTGCAGAGATCTTCCATTTTAGGAACTTGTCAAGGACTAAATAGTCTTTTGTCAGGAAGGACTGCCATCTGTCCCCCTTTACTCCAACTGCTTCCTCCTCCTGTATAGTCTGAAAGCTGATGTGAGAGGTGTTGGAGTGTGGAATTTGTTCCTGCAGCCATGTGTCAGTGAAACACAGAATTCTACATGCTTGATATGATTGCTGCGGTGTCTTCAGTGCTCTAAGCTCATCTACTTTATGCACCATTGACAGTGCAGTTGTTATCAAAAAAATCTGAGAAAAAAAGTTCAACCTATTTGTCCTTAATAGTTTTGTTCACTCCCTATATTTGTTATCTCGTCAGGATTTAGGATGCTGTTTCTTTGACTATATAAACTTGGAGCAGCAACATTCACTCTGATCACACGGCAATATTGGGTCAAAATGATTAATTTAACCTTGATGAAATAAACACACTTTCCATCCATCCATTTCTCTCCACCTATCTGCAGTCGGGTCACGGGGGCAGCAGCCTCACTAGAGTGGCCCAGACTTCCCTCTCCCCAGCCACTTGGGCCAGCTCCTCCAGCTG